AACACTCAGAGCTAACCTGTACTGGAGAGCATGTGTGTGAAGAAGCAGGAAATAAAAAGGAACTCACCTTGTGGTATAACCGGCAAGAGAGAAAGCCTTTGAGCTCCATACTGTTTCAGAAATAATCCTTGAAGTGGTTTTGAACATGATATGGTGTTTAACCATTTAGCTGAGTATCTTTTTAAAAAAAATGTTTTTAAGCTAAGGACCCAGAATCAGCAGTTCTCTAACGGGGCTTATATAGAGGGATATGAGGGATGCCTAAAATGCACGATCTGTTTGGTATTTTGAGGACATGTTTTTATATATCCGCATAATATATGCCTAACAATAGCCTGATAGGAGATCTTTAAGAGCTGTCAGCATGAAGGCAGTACAGCGACTGTATCCTGTGTGTGTGTGTGTGTGTGTGTGTGTGTGTGTGTGTGTGTGTGTGTGTGTGTGTGTGTGTGTGTGTGTGTGTGTGTGTGTGTGTGTGTGTGTGTGAACCTTGGTGATGTGCAGAGAGAGGCTGTGCAGCCGCAGACTTCCTTTGGACTCTCCAGGATCAGTTCCTCTGTCTTCGTTCTGGTCCGGACCGTCTGGATCCTGCCAGGAAAAAGTCCCCTGGCTCATCAGGATGGACGTCTGACCGTCTTCAGGAGACACTACGACAGATGTGGAAGGACATTTTATTATATATAGTGATAGGTAATTGTAATAATAACAACTTATATATTTTTGAAAGACTGATTAGTTTTGACTCTGATCTACAAACACATAATGGATAAAGGGTTTGAATCAGCACTTGCAGAAGTTTGTAACTTTCAAATTTGTTTTTCCAGGAGCATTACTTCATACAGCTTCAAAATAACCACATTACTGCGTCAATTCTGGTGTTGGTGATCCATAAAATGATCAATCAAAAATGATGAACTAAAGTGACTTAAGAGACTATTATTATTATCATGTATTCATTAAAACCTATACAACCAGTCAATGATTAAAACACAATTATACAGATGAGAGATGCCAAATGATTCCATCAGCTGATTTCCTTCTGCAGTCCCTGGTACACACCATTCATCTAAACTGAAAACATGACAGAGTCTCTTTCACACTGACATTTATACAGACATGTTCACGTACACATTATAAACTATAAATACTAGCACATTTATCAGTACAACCAAAATATAACTAATTCATGTATTAGTTTAATTAATTTGAGCTCAAAATACAGTTTAAGTTGACGAGCCAGGTTGCTCAATATCCATTACATTACTGCACATATTTTATTCCAATCTATTTTAATGTAAATACTGCTATACTTTACTATATTGTTTTAACGTTAATATTGTTTTCTTAAAATAGTTTTCTATCTGTGTTTTAAATTTTAGTTTTACTCTCTTATATTGCACTTCTTAAATATATATGTTCAAATATATAACACAGTTTTCATGTGTTAATAAGCCCAATTTTCAAATAAATTCAGTCATTAAAGTTGAAAACATGTTCAAGTTGATAAGAAAAAGCCCAATAACAAATGCACATAAAAACCTTCAAATAAACCCTTCATATCTCCTCTTATTGTAATCAATCTGAAGCTTCTGATTTAAGGAATGAGCTGCCAACTAAATAAATAAAACCCTATTTGATGTAGGCTGTTTTTTTTAAAAAGCATTTTCAAGTATTGAGCATAATTGACCTTCATCGGATCGATTTTTCTAACTTATAACTGAACTTATGAGACAGTATACCTCTAGTGAGCTGCCCAGCCCTTCGTATATTTGTCTGTATGTGGCCCTCGGTGAAAAAAGTTTGGACTAAATAAATACTACATTGTGATCTATTTGAGGTAACCGAGCAGCACAGAGGTTGAGACGCAGCGCACCCAGAGCGTAGTACGCCTGCAGGTCCTGGTTGGTCAGTTTGAAGAAGCGCTGGATCCTCTCCAGAGACACCTTGGCCTCCAGGATGCCGTTCAGCACCCAGGGGAACGAGTTGAGGGGAATGATCAACATCCCCACCAGAGCCAGCGTGGTGAACACCTGCAGGGAGAGGACGTTTAACTGCTTTAGGGTTTATTTGTACGATTTGAAATACAAAGAAAGATATCCAGTGCAGGGAGAGGCAGGAAAAAAAGCACTTGGCTTATCTGAAGCCTTAACTACCCCAGAGTTCACCGTGTTATTAAGGCCATTCGAATGTTATTCTATGCTCTAAATATATATCCTTCATTATTGACATGTATTCACTGTTTTGCGTAATTTGTTTATCTTCTACTGTTGATGTGTGTATCTTTATTGTTTTTTTATTTACCTCTTATTCATGTGCAATGTCTTTTCTATGCTGACGAAAAAAAGTCCCAATTTATGACCAATAAAGTATATCTTATCCTATCTTAGTTTTCGGTGATTATTTACTTATGAAATCATAAATATTACAGTCTATTCCTGGTAATAAATAAATAAATACCACAAACGGGACCCTTGACAGTTGTTTGAGGGTAAACAATCCTAAAATCGGTAAAGTCACTCCCTACTCAAAGTATCTATAGTGTCCTATATGTGTAGAAAGACAGGTTAACTTCACTGTATGCATCAAAACAATTACAGTGTAAAGTTTCCCACCTTGGCTTCTTAGATTCAGGTGATTATTTACTCGTGAAATCATAAATATGATATCCTATTTCTGATCAAATAATAAAAAAGAATCCAACCAACTGGACCCTTGACAGCTGTTTCAGGGTAAACACTCCCACATGTGTTCATTCACTCCCAGCTCAAAGTATCTCTAGTGTCCTAAATGTGTAGAAAGCCCGGTTAACTTCACTTCATCAGGGCAGGAATCCTGAAGTCAAATGTAATTTCTTTTAAGACCTTTTTTAAGACCCTTCCCATACAGTTTAAGACCTCATCGCCACTTGGAGTTCTAACCGGTTACCTTGGCGACACACTTTACCTCACATTGACTATATACAGTCATACTTGCCAACCCTCCCGATTTTCGCGGGAGACTCCCGATTTCATAGCCCTCTCCCGGTTTCCTCCCGGGGTCATATTTCTCCCGCATTTCTCCCGATTCCGACAAAATCAGATTTACTCAGGACTGTTTCCACTCTGACTTTAATACAGCTACACCATTGTTTGGTTTCCATGGCAGCGCGTCTCTTTAGCGTGCGCGCAACTGAAAGTCTGAGAGGGTGAGGAAGATAGTCACCCTCTGCTCACTCCTTTCCTGTAATATACAGGTCCAGCCACACATTTGCTCCATCAAGGACGGTGCTACAGACCGCAAGGCAGTGCACTTACAACTACATATGCTCCCGATTTCTGAGGTCTCAAGGTTGGCAAGTATGTAGGCTACACAGTATTGATTGTCCTTCCTCCTTATCGTAAACGGACCTTCGCGCGCTATCAAGCAGTGAGCGTGCGATGTCCTGTTCAGATGACGTCAAATCCAACGGGATGCCATAAATAAACTACACAGAATCACACTACACACCTACGCAATGATTACATTCAGGCAGACTGTAGAATACAACCTCTTTGGACCATTTATATACTTATTGAAAACAAGCTACAAAATGTAACACCTTGGAAAAAATGTAATAGCCTTCATTTTCGCTAAATTGATTTATCAACTTTTAATACTTTTTAAGACCCCGCGGACACCCTGTTTATGCATCAAAACTGTTTAAAGAGTAAAGTGTCCCACCTTGGCGGCAGTGAGCTGGTGCCCCAGCAGGGTGTAGGTGAGGAAGGTGAGGATGGAGATGACCACAGGTAGAGCCGCCCAGGTGTAAACACACATGGCGTCCAGGTACTTCAGAGCCTTCAGGTGGGACAGCTCCTCTTTACGGCAGGCGTTGATCTTCTGCGTGAAATGAGGCTCCCAGTTGTAGAACTTGATGACCCGAATGCCGAAGAGGACCTCCGTCATTAACTGGGAGAGAAGAAAGACACATATTGGGGATCTCGACATCTTTCTGGGGCAAAAACTGCTAGAATCCTGCCTTGGATCCACAACAATGTCCTTTTTAAAAAATCTCAAATCAGCTTTTATTTTTACTATGAGGGTTTAATATTTCAATTGTACAATTTCAAATTAAACCACTTTCAAAAGGTGAAAGGTATTAAGTGTGGAAAAATGATAACAATTGTCCGTTTCTTTTCATACAATTGCATTAACATTCGGATCCCCAAAGCGTGAGATAACTATTGATAAATATATATTGGCAGATATTTACTTTCTATACACAAACTTCACATTGTTGAAGCTCAATTTATCTTCTTTTTAAGTATTTCTTGGGCTTTTTTGCCACAGTTTAATCCTAATAAGTGATAAGGGGATTAAGCAACAACAAAGGTCCCTGGTGGGCATCTAGCCAGTCAACATTAGGAGATCAAAGTACATTTTATAAAGTTCATTTCACTGGAAATCAATATACAGTATGTCACCATGAAAAACAAATTAATAGTATTTTAAGCTCAAATTTAAAAAGAGTTACAAGAAATAATTAAATGCATTAATATTAGTTATTATTCTTTTGTTAAAATACATATACATCTAAAAACTACTACTTCTCCAACCACAGCACTAATTTAAAACATCCGTTCCCACCTTCACGCGTGTGTCCTTGTGTCGGAGCATGTGTTGGTTGTTTCTGATGAGTCTTGTGGCGAGGAACTTGTTGAAAGGCACGAGCATCAGAGCCACGCTGAGCCCCCCGAGGAACGCCACCCCCACCTGGAGGTACAGCAGGTACAAGGTGATGGTCAGCCTGAAGGGGAGGCTCCACAACTCGTGGAAACTGTTGAAGAAGTTGACCACGCGTCCGGTGTCGGTGCTCATCAGATTCACCACTTCCCCCAGCGTGGCTCCGGCCAAACTGCTGCCTCTGATCCGCAGGGATTTACCGTAAACCGCCGACATGAGAGCAGCGCGGGCCGAAAGAGACACCTGAGCAGAGAGTACACACATCCTTTACTCAAGTAGAAGTACAGATACTCGTGTTTAAAAATACTCTGGTGAAAGTAGAAGTACTGACTAAACTTCTTTACTCAAGTCAAAGTAAAGAGGCTTTGAAATGTACTTCAGTAAAAAGTACCCATAACTAGCAGCTGTTTTAAAGAGTACCTGACCTCCCTTTATATTAATAGAACAATAATGTCATTGTTAGCTAATGAATGTTTCCATGGTGACCAACGGCAACATGACAACGTTTTCATTGGTCCCTCTTCTTTAGAGAAGACCAGGAAATTATGGATACACGGATCGTGTTCAAATCAATAGGCACGCAATGACTCTAAATAATAATGATCACGCCACCAAACACACATTCAAACTAAAGGAACCAGCCTGTTTGGAAAATGAGAGAAGTAGAAAGTACAGGTATTTGTGTTCAACATGTAAGAAGTAGAAAGTACAGGTATTTGTGTTCAACATGTAAGAAGTAGAAAGTACAGGTATTTGTGTTCAACATGTGAGAAGTAGAAAGTACAGGTATTTGTGTTCAACATGTAAGAA